GCAGAAACTATATATTTGTGACTCTCAGAGCAGTTCTGGGGATGTTGTTCATGTATTTATGTCCTATTTAGTGAGAAGGCAGATGCTGAAATCACAGCGAGCGTCACGCGCACTTCAGTACCTATGTGTGTAGTAAACAAAACCGCGTGACATTCATTCAGATCATAGACTATGATTCAAACAGACACAGAAAATGCAGGATTTCTATTTAAATAGCCTTTTTGCGGCTTAATATTTACAGATACTAGTCCATATCACGATTTAAGTGTAATGACCTTCCTTTGATTAATTCATCCAAACTTTGACAAATTCCGTGACATTCCGCGTTATAGCCTACAGTAAATTCCGTTGACTGGATTCTGCAATTCCATCCGTGTTTTCCGCATCGCGGAAATCATAGGGCCATAGGCGTACCTTGCGGGAAGGTCCAAACTCCACCTCTGATTCTGTCATCAGAATCCTGCGTGTTGCCAGATGTTGAGGGTCCTGAGGTGTGCACCAACCCATTTAGAGCGTCTGTAATAAGCCGATTTCATGGCTTTGTTTTGATGAGGTTGACTTTGGAAAAAACATGTTCTGAAATTTCGAAATTATCATGCATTATGGGATTTTTTTAAATTATTGATCATACATCGTACAGAGGTCAAAATTATTGTACAAATACGATAATTATTGCACGTCTGGCAACACTGGTGCAACAAGTGATGGAGTGCTGAATGCTGCACGCATGCGCAGTGTTGTCAAGAGGTAACATTTGGTCAGTCATTCCTTTCGCCAAGGGAGTTCCAAACGCTTATACGAGACGGTAATTACCTACACCCTTCAAAGAACACACTTCAAGGACTCTGCCCTTTGAAGGCAGTAGGGCATAGGGATGCTCACTTCGGTTTGGAATTTGACTAGTATGTCTCAAAACTTGCCTACTATTTTCGTTCAACAAACAAGTAGTTACTTACATTTTAGACACAATATTGACTGATCTATTTCACCAACGAAAACAGTTCCCAATAAAAATCAGAGGAGATTTTCCAGAAAGCAGGCTATGTGACATACCCAGGTATGTTTGGGAGTAACCACCCCAGCTTTCGGTTCCAAAAACTGAGGTAACTTTCAGGGTATGTAAGTACCCATAGCAACGTACTCTCTGAACATAACCTGCTCTGGAGTTGATTAGTAACAGCCCTGGGGCCCGTTCTTCGTACGTCGCTAACTCAGTTAGCTGGATTTGATTGTTGACGATTTAGTATGATCTTGGATTATTTGGTTCTTCGAAGCTCATCCTGGATTTGCTGTCATAGCAACAGGTCCGTAAACTTAAACCTGCTCGGGAGCATGCTTATTTCATGTAAACAGGATTAGATTGCATCTTTTTAAGTGAAATTGATATTTAAAATCTGTCCCAGCCAATGCTACCTTATTACAAGAGTACCCTACTAATCCGGGGACAATCATTTTTTAAATAATAATAATAATTTAAAAATTAATTAGAAAATAATATTATAATGTTGTGTAAATATAATACTACAGTATAGACACAGCCAGTTTTACTCATTGAAAGATTTATTTGTGATAAAATAATTACTTTATAATTGTTTTAGAGTCTTACACAAACGTCTGTGTGTGGTGGCTCTTGATGCCTTGACCCCAGCCTCAGTCCATTCCTTGTGAAGTTCACTCAAATTCTTGAATCGATTTTGCTTGACAATCCTCATAAGGCTGCGGTTCTCTCGGTTGGTTGTGCATCTTTTTCTTCCACACTTTTTCCTTCCACTCAACTTTCATTTAACATGCTTGGATACAGCACTCTGTGAACAGCCAGTTTCTTTGGCAATGAATGTTTGTGGCTCCTTGTGAAGGGTGTCAATGATTGTCTTGTGGACAACTGTCAGATCAGCAGTCTTCCCCATGCTTGTGTAGCCTAGTGAACCAAACTGAGAGGCCATTTTGAAGGCTCAGGAAACCTTTGCAGGTGTTTTGAGTTGATTAGCTGATTGGCATGTCACCATATTCTAATTTGTTGAGATAGTGAATTGGTGGGTTTTTGTTAAATGTGAGCCAAAATCATCACAATTAAAAGAACCAAAGACTTAAACTACTTCAGTCTGTGTGCATTGAATTTATTTAATACACAAGTTTCACAATTTGAGTTGAATTACTGAAATAAATGAACTTTTCCACGACATTCTAATTTATTGAGATGCACCTGTACATTTAATAAGGTTAAAAGAATATTGGCATTTATAAAGGTAAATAACATCCTGGGGTAAATATTAAAAATGTCCAGATTTATGTAAAACTGATAGAACACTGATAAAAATATTGCTTCTGAATAAATTGTATATACCAACAAAAATCTCAGTGATGGGGTGCTTTTGTGGGGATATTTTGTATAAAATATTGCCTGCTGACATGAAAAGTACACTGTATATCATAATAATAAATAGCATTTTTGACAGCAATGATATTTTGTTTTCTTTTTACATTAAACACATTAAATATTATGTATACATTTGTAATATAATGTGTATTTCCATCACAGGTTTAGTCTTAAATTTCACATAAGGTGTTATTAAAGAGGTTTTAAAAAGTCTTAAATTTAACTTGTTCATGTCTGTAGATACCCTGAAACTATTATATTTATGATTAAAATATAGATATCGATAAAAAGTGTAATTAAATAAAAATATAATGATAATTTATAAAAATCCAGAATGTGACATCCATTTACTTACGTTTATATTTTTACTGTATGAGGCAATTGACTATCATATCATTTGGCAAGCAGGGTTTGCCTGCCAGCAGGACTTTGCCCGACGCTTTAGCCATTAGAGGATTTATGTCACCATTGGTGGATACAGTGAGACTGGCACACAAACACCAGACATTATTTGCAAAGATTTAGGACCAGAGCTCAAGCAGCTAAGCTGCAGTTTGCAAGACATTGGGTGGTTTCCAAGATCACTAGTTTTTAGATTTCTAAAGCAATGTATTTTTTGTCAGAATTTCTAGAATGCCGGTGACGTGATAAAAGGAAATAGAATTTCACTTATTTAATCTTTTTCCAATAGCGTGATCTGCATAGTTTCTAAACTCATTCAGACCTACAGTTCACGTCCTGTTTCTCTCAAAGCACTTCCTTTGCACTTGTAGATGAGTCAGAGTGCAGTTTCAGTGGCCTTTACTATTGCAGTGTTTGGCTGTATGTATGTTTGTGTAAGTGTGTGGTGGCTGATTTAGTGTGAAAAAGCATGAAAGCATGCCTGCTTTGGCCGGAACTGTTCCTAGCACGGCTATTTTATGTCAGAGCACTCACAAACACATGGGCGCAATGCACCGCCTTCAAGTGTTAACAATGGTTTGTGAATTTACTGTGATTTCCAGATTGGTCTTGGAGAATAGAAGGAATAAATAGACATTTCCTCTTGGCCTTCTGGTTGCACACAAACATGCTCATAAGCACGCCTCCACAGCCACGCGAATGACGTTCACACCTCTACACACATGCTCGCAGATGCACGCATCCGCTCTACTACATTCATGTGAACAAAAACAACACTTGAAACTCAGACAGTGTAGCTGCTACGAGCTGTGCACATGCACATTTCTTGTTTTTTACACAAATACACCCAGGCATTGTACACCATTTTGATTTCCTAGGGAAGCATATTTTTTCTCTCCTCACATTGACAGAAATATGAATATGTGATTTTCCCCCAAAACCCGCTCCACAGCTGATTCTAAGATTTTCATTGGTCAATCACTTTGCTGATCACCTACACAACACTAAAAAACGGATAATGACCATTAATCTTAGTATAGCACACATCTTGATAGACAGCAATACTGTCTGTCATGATCTGATCCATTCATGAGTTTTTTTTGACAGGTGACTCCATGATTGAGTAAAAATCTTTATTGGTTTGGGTTTGCATTTAATTAGGGTTGCATCATGACCTAAGTATTGCATATTTCCATTTTTTATTGTCTACACATTTAATAATGTTGTGATGTGTATTGTCTTAAAATATAATAAAATACAATTATACAACACTTTGACGTCACTTTGAGCTCCACTTACATACATGTTCTAGTTTGTGTGTAACCTGGCGACATTAACTAACAGTGACCGGGGCAGTTGTGGCCTAATGGTTAGAGAGTCGGATTTGTAACCCAAAGGTCATGGGTTCGAGTCTCAGTACTGGTAGGGACTGTAGGTGGGGGGGAGTGAATGAACAGCGCTTTCTTCCAACTTCAAAACCACGACTGAGGCGAGGCTCTTGAGCAAGCAACCCCCAACTGCTCCCCAGGCACCACAGCAAAAATGGCTGCCCACTGCTCTGGGTGTGTATTCACTACTCAGTGCTCACTGCTGTGTGTGTGTGTGCGTGCGCGCACTTGGATGAGTCGAATGCAGAGAACCATACTTGGCTACACGTCATGCCACTTTAAAATCAAAAGCTTTGACTAACTGGACTAAATAAACCAACTAATCACAGAATTCTTGCTTGTGTGATTTTGCTTATTATTTTGCTTTTGCTTATGTTTGTTTGTTCATTTAACATCAATAACAAATTCAGAAGTCTGAAGTTTTTTATAATTTTTTTTTACATTTTTGATTTATCGACAGATCTTTACAACAAAACATTTATTTCTAATAATCTAAAATCAGCATAAGTTTCACCAAATCACTTTACACTTAAAATATCATGAAGCATAGATTAAAAAAAAAACATCTTATGCTTATTTAATACTGGTTGCATTTCAACTGCACACATTCCTAAAGAAGAAAAATATTAATTTAAGTATATTTAACACAGCCAGAATTCCTCTCATTCTCTTGTGTGAATTTCAGCTGAGAATAGTAAAACAGCTTTACTGCATTTACTAAATTGAAGTCAGCACAGCTGCCTGTCAGCACACAAACTCCCTCATTGGACTCTTCAATCCATTACCCCCCTCCCCCCCACACCCTTTCAATCCATTTATCCGGGCTTTGCAACTCGCCACGCCTCGCCTCGTTTTTTCTCAATAGTTGTCAGAGCCTCGGGTCACTCACTAGTCGTCGTGAGGCATCTTCCACTCGCTTTCTTTCTCGCTCGGTCTCCACCTTCTCAGGCTCCAGCATCCTTTTTGCAAAGTCTGAGCAAACCGTGGACGGCGAAGCAGTTCGTATATTCGAGGTTGTTTGAGCTCTGCATTATCCGCCTGTGGCAGGAAAACAAACGCAAGTCTTTTCTCCTCAAGTTTCGACTCAAACTCCGACCATGTCCGGCGAAGACGCACCTGCTCAGCAGCAAAACGCCGAGGAGCAGAAGCAGCAGCAGCAGGAGGAGACCAAGACGCCCGCCGAGTCCCCAAAAACCGAGAGCAAACCCGACCCACCTCCCACCAGCGCGTCCACCGAGGCCGCCGCTGACACCCCAGCGCTCGCCGCGGAGAAAGCCCCAGAGGAAGACACGTTCAGCTACCGGGCTCTGGTGCTCACCGGCTACGGCGGGTATGATAAGGTGAAGCTCCAAGTGAAGAAGGGGAAACCGGCTCTTAAGAGCGGCGAGGTGATGGTGCGCGTGAAAATGTGCGGGCTGAACTTCGCAGATCTGATGGCGAGACAGGGACTGTACGACCGGCTCCCGTCCCCGCCAGTAACCCCGGGCATGGAGTGCTCCGGGATCATCGAGGCTGTCGCTGAAGACGTGACTGACAGAAAAGTGAGTAAACCCATCGCCTAGTTTCTTTATACAGCCATTTATTCGTTCTCCGGCGTTCATTTTATTGCCCATCCTGCACATTTAACGCGTGTATTACTAAACGAGTTATGAAAACGTTTACACGGTGTTTGTAATTATGTACTCTTTAACGCTGTGCAAAAATAATGTCGGTCATTCAAAGAGAACTCCTTCTCAAACTCCTGTCACATTCACTCGCCACCAGAGACAAAAGAGGAGCGGGAGGGGCGCCGATAGCCTCATTTCAGCATCACCGGAGCTCTTGTCGCGCTGACCCGAGCAATGGGCCGGAACGCTAACCGTTCACGGGAGAGCGAGCTTTGCTTGTGTACGCGGCGAGTTGAAAGTAACTAACCGTATGGGTGATACTGTATGTACACAGTTATGCAAACACGCTCCTCACTGTAGCCAGCTGCGTTTCTTCTCATGGAAGCGTTTAGTTTGATCGCGTCAGTGTGTGGAGGGAACCGCCGCCCCTCTTTCTCTCGGAGACCGACGGCGTTTAATTGTGAAGTCGCACCTGAGACACGTGCGCGGTCAATTCCAGACGCTTCTAAAAAGTAGCGAAATCACGTTTTCGACGGGTGTAATTCACTTTTAGCGATTGGTGCGAGCCATACTGGTGTCAAGTGGGCTCGCGGAAGACTCTCCCCACGCGCAGGAAAAAAGGGCGAGGCGCGAGAGGGGGGGGGATGCTAATCGCACGCGCCCTTTGTCATCGGCCTCGCGCATTGTGACACTGACATGCACTCTGACATCATTCATCATTCTTGCCAGATTTCTTTTCTTCATTTTGGCCTCTTTAAACCAAGGTTTTCTTCCCTTTTATAAAAACGTCAACGCCTATTTTGTAGGCATAGCGCCAGTGCAATAACATTTCTTATTATATACATATTTGTTTTAGTTGGCCAGCGGATATCAATGTGATTTAAATAGTATAAATCTAATTCTCTTGTTAATTTTTCAGCTCCATAGAAAACAGTGGAGTCTTAGTATGACGTGGCCTAATTGACTTGCTATGTGCTCCATAAGAACAAATCGATGAGTCACGCCTGGTGGTCGCTGCGCTGGTCTCCATGGCAACGCATCATGGCAACGCCATGCACCGGCTCTGTGTGAGAGTTGGTTGAAAGGATTTGGTGTTTGTGTTACAGAGAATAAACATATTTAATGAGAACCAGAGGAGGTAAGATGTTCAAGAATTGTGTGAAATGCAGATTAAAGCCTGAGCGTGTTTAACACAGGAAAAAGAGAGAAAGTAAGAGGGAGCGAGCACTAGGCGTTGGCTGGTGGGTGATGCAGAGGATGAAGATAATGGTTCAGCCCTTCCTCAGCCTCGTCTGTCACTGATATTGAATTTAAAAGGTCACCTATCTCTCTCTCTCTCTCTCTCTCTCTCTCTCTCTCTCTCTCTCTCTCTATATATATATTCTCTCTCTCTCTCTCTCTCTCCCTCTCTCTCTCTCTCTCTATCTATATATCTATATATATTAGCCATGTCAGCAAGCAAACAATTGCTCCTCCTCACTTTCGGAGACGTGATAGTGCTTGGCAAAGCTGACATTGTTTGGTGAGCATGTGAGGTGAGGAATCTGCTGATTGTGGTGTCCGGAAAATGACTCTTTCTTGGAGGAAGAGATTGAGAGACTGTCTCTACATTATACCAATCTTCCTATACACCACTGTAGAGGTGAATGCTAAAGGCCATGACATCCTCTCACATGACCCGACAGATGTTATTCCTAAACTGCTCTCTTGTGCCCACTCGGTCTATATTAGCATTTTTGTCATGAATAATTAATGTAACAAAACATGTTGCTTATGCGCGCACACAATATTTATTAGAGTTCTGCTGCGAGGATCAGATGCATCTGTTCACAATTATCTTCCTCTGGACCACATTGTCAGCCTGGAATTTCCTCTCGGTCTCGCTCTCTCTCTCTCTCTCTCTCTCTGTCTCTCTCTCTCTGTCTCTGTCTCTCTCTCTGTGTCTCTGTGTTTGTGGGTGGGTGGGGACAGGTCGATGATAAACAGCGATGCAGGGACACAAGCCGCTATAGTTGAATCTGGTGGTGCCGTGTAACATTTCTAATCGAGAAACCGTTTTAACCACAAGGTTTTTGACCGGGAAACCTGACGTGGTTTCAAGTACTCGCATTTAAGAACCGTTTAACTGCACCATAAATGAAGAGTTATGGGTTTGAGGCGTAGGCTGAGATTTGTTCAGTTAGTGGTACTATAAGAGCGATCAACATGTTAGAGCTGCATCAATGTGGAAAAATAATAAAAACTTACTCTAAGCCGTAATGTCACAATACAACAAGAGAGGTAACCGTGTTTCACAATGTGCAGAGAGTGGTTACAGAAGTGGAAACCGTTCTGGTGCTGTGATGGAAGTATGACCTAATTTGACAATTGTAGGGTATAAACAACGCGGCTGAGCATAAAATGACTCTCTAAGGCCAGTTTCATCAGGTGCAGCATAAAAACAAGCAGTAATAAATGGATAAACCTGATAAGTCAAACTGACTGCAGTACCTTGCTGTGCATTTTAAGTATTTTAACTAACTAAATTTAATATTTTTATAGTTAAATCTATTAAACCTATGTGGAAAAATAGTTCCAAAAAAGTATACCTATTATATCTGTGAACGTTATGGTAAAATTTCTGCTGAATATGGTAAGTTGGTAGTTTAAAAAAATTGCAATTTATATGAATGTACTAGTGGAAAATATAGAATTTGTATGTAATATTTAATAGGGACAGTGTATATCTTAAGTCTTGTACTGGTCACCATTTTTTCACCATTTCTGTCACCTTGTTGCCTTTTCTAGTTCATTTTAAATTCTGCAGGTCTGAAAAAAAATAAAAAAATTTGAAGAAAAGACAAAAAAATCACAGAATGAGGGGGAAAAGTATAAATATTCCATGTAATCTCTCAGTTAATATGAAGTCATTTAAGCTGCATGCTAAATAATTATAAAATAATTGTGCTATTTAAAAAAAATGCTATTTAAATATCTTTAGGTGGAGGACAGCATGTTCACATCACAGGACATGTCAATTTCCCAAAATAATTGTCAGCACAGTAAAATAATAAAATACTTTTCCCTGTATGTTATATTGTTTTTTGCAAAATAGCAATTCATTACAACTCTGTGGTTACCAGTTAACATGCCAGTGAGAAACTTTTTTTTCATAAATTAAAATTTAATATTTTAATAGAATATTTTAATAATCAGTTAAGATATAGCAGAAATATTTATCAATATTAATACATGTATTAATATATGAATAATTATTATTTCCTCCATAATGAGTTGCTATTTCGTATATGCTTACAATTTGAATTTTGCTTGGACTGCACCCCACCTGGAGCATGCAGGGGTTAAGTGTCTTGCTCAAAGGCACAGTGGTGATAAAACCGGATCGTGATCTCAATATCTCTGCCCCAAGTGGGATTTTGAGCCGCCATCCTTTGTGTTAGCAGCCCAGAGTCTCAACCGTAGGGCTACTGCCGTCACATACAAAATAAACACAGATAAAATAGACACAATTTAAGAGACCGCAAAGCTTTATGGAGCAGAATCCCACTCATTTCCACAGCAACATGATTAAAAGTTCGCCAACAGATGTATTGCATGAGCCAAATGCATTAGAGAGAGCCACTTTGCCCGTCAGTGTGTGTGTGTGTGTTTGGGTGTGTACGTGCATGCATACAGAACAGGAAGAGACTGGAGAGACATGGGAGAGGATCACAGGCAGTGACGGACATCTCACCCTTCAGCTGACCTTGATCTTTGCAATCTCAGCTGAAAGTGTGTTTGTTTAGTGCAAACACAGAATAAAAAGTATGATACGTTTGTGACGCAAGTGTGACTGTTTTGTAAGTCTGACAAGGAGAGCGAGAAAAGGAGGGGGAAGAGGGCTGATTTCCCCATATGGTGAGTCATGATCACAGTTCCTGGCCGAGACTTAAATGTCCATTTGATCTGTGATGTGCAGAACATCCAATTTAAGGAGAAAGAAGAAGAGGAATGGTAGAAAGCAAGACTGAGATTTGGAAGACAAGAAGAGCGCGAGACAGGGAAGACTGAAAACCGTGAGGAGAGATGAACTGGGGCACAGACATATCGGCTTGAGTAGTCCCGCTCTCTAATTGGACAGTATAGACAAAGATGCCCATGCGTCCCTTGGGCCTATTAGACCGTGTGTGTCTTCCTGTCTGTGAGGGAAGCGCTGGGTATATAAGTGTTTACGTTTTGCTTTTGAGAAAAGCTTCAGTGTGTGTGTGTGTGTGGTTCCTGAAGCACCGTTGAGCATTTGTGCCAAGTTTGTGTACCCTTAAAAAGAGAAATAAAGGTGTGTGTGTGTGTGGTCTTTTAAGCTCATTGAGGCTGAAGGATCTGCCTGCCACCTGATGAGAGGATCTGATCTTTAGAAATGTAGAAAGACAGAAAGGGGGAGATGGGAGATGAAAAGGAGTGATCGACAGAGAAAGAGTGATGGAGGAACAGGGATGTTTATGATGCTAGTGATTGAGAAAATACACAAGTGGTGGACGGGACTTAAGTGTTGAGTGTTTTTGTGCATGTTACAAAGGTCGGACCAGTCAGTGTCACTGTTTTTATGAATTTTGAAAACAGCTTAAAGGTGACGTATGCCATTTGTTGGCACCAGCAACACCAAACAGAATTGCAGTATTTATTTGAGCAGCTTGACTGGGTTGGATATAATAACATTGGCTCAACCAACGATTTGAAAACATGGGCCATAATGGTGCATATATTAGAATGTGTGTAATTTCTTTAGAGGCATAGTGGTGCTTTCTATTGCTCATACTGAATTTGAAGGGATAGTTCACCCAAAAATGAAATTGTCATTTACTCCACTTCATGTAGTTCCAAACCTGGCTTTTTTTTCTGTGTAACAGATATTTAAAAAAATGTTTTAACCATTTTTGCCCATACAGGGAAAGTCAATGGGGTCCAAAATAATACTGGAGTATTTAAAACCAAAATTTGTTGAACTAAAACAAATTGCCATGTAAATGCATTAGTTCAGTTAAAATCGTACTGGTTAGGT